AGATAAAGAGATAATAAGTCGCATACAAATGTCACTTATCACTTACAAACAAAAAGTTAGAATATAATTTAGATGCTCGGGGAAGAATTATCATCAACATCTGGACAAACACAAATAATCACTTTTAGATATTCATATAAATAATCTTTCCTTTTTAATATCTTTCTTGGTAAAAAATAACTCAAATATTTTTTTTAGATCAGAATATTAAGGGTGAAACAAATCATGCACGATACGGTGGAGTTTCAGTTTTCCTTCTTTACAAATGAGATATTTTTTACGACGTCTCAGAATGATGAAATATAATCGTGATAAATATCATACAAATTTCTTCCGAAGACAAGAAATGATTTGTCTGAATTAATCAGACAGATATTCGTTACCAAGTGCTGAGCGGTGCACTGCGGAACATGTGCTTAACACGAGGCAATTTTATTTAGGGGCGCCTCGAAGTTGGAAAATTTAACCATCGGCGACCAGTCCGATGCCAGCTTCGGTGCGAGAAGAGGTATAAAGCCCCTTCGAATTCCTCCCCTTTTCGTGGGGAGGGGGGAGGGAGGGGGGGGGGGTACCTGGCACACGTGTGGGGATCCGCGGGCCCCGAAAATGGGTCTACGTAGCTAGTCTCGGTGGGGCCGGTCGCATATGGTGGCGAACACACGTATAAAGCGTTCCAGCGGTAATAGCCAGGTGTTTCAAAGGTGAGGCGATGGGGCGCCCCTCGAGGCGGCACAACAAAAAAATAAACCAGCTTCCTTCCGATGGGGCTACCTTCCATCGGGGCGGCCACCCGGTACTCACATATAGGTGCTCTGTGCGCGCCGTAATAATTATACAGATTTATTCGAACGGGCCCGGATCGTAACGGGTTAACAGCGTGCGAGCGCGCGAACTGGTTGAGAGTTCCGGAGAATCGTAACGTCGCGCATATCGTGTACCTCGCCAAGGGTCGAAGAGTCACACCTTTCATTTCTTCGGCTGTAACATGTAATTTACCACTTTGAGCGGGAAAACAAGACTCGCACGAGGAACCGGCGCAACCGTAAACGGCGGTCTATAAGTATACACTTGGTCGGCGTATCTGTATTTTTCAGGCGAGCGCGTTAATCGCTCACAACGCGTGATCACCCTGATTGGCCATATATCGCGTCACAAATGAAAGATGCGAGAAAGAGACGTACGTTCAGATCGAATTTTGTAATTTCTCTCACGAGATAATAATTGGAAAGTGCGAGGAGTAAGGATTTGAAAAAAGTTCACAGGGCAAATTAAAATCGATTAATTAGCAGTTCCGCTAAGATTAACGAAACCTACGCCGCCAGCTCTCAACCTGCTTCTTCATCACGCATAACTGTATTTGTATTTCTTTTCGCGGCAGGGCGGAAATGGTTCGCCATTGCGGCGCAACAACATAACCGACGAACGCGACAGGCGCGGTGCCAGTGGGACCTGCTTCCATTTATGCGTGCATAAAGAATCCTTTCGCAGCAACCTGCGCGAACGCGCGATTACCCGTAGTATCGGCGTGAAGGGCGCCGAAGGGGGGGGGAAGGGGGTA